ACATGACAGATGTTTTCTCACTGATGACAAAAAAAAGACATATTGTATATTTCTGTGAATTATGTGAACGAAGTAATGTCATGTCATATTTTATTTATTTCAATGTTTCTTTTATGTCAATAAAAAGTATTAGAAAAAATAGATGATAAACTCAGTTTTAACATTATGTCAACATTCCTTTTCAAAATGCTAAACATATGCTTTTCTAGCTTAAATAAATAGTTATTATAAAACAGGTTATAAAACACGGATGATTTAGGTAACTTGTAAAAACTTTTGTTTTGGTGAGTTGTAGACGTAAATTCCCTGTTCCTAGTAAATTATGCATGAAGTGTTTCGAGTAAATCGAATTTATTTGATGTTGTGATGGGCTGATAAATGAAGTCTTAGCTTTGAAAACAAGCTCATGTGTGACGATCAATTCTCCATCAACTGCTTGAATTTTAATGATGCCATACAGTCATAAACAACGTTTTATACAGTTCCTCTCGCATTATTCTTCTAGTCTCTTATAAACATAGTGTGATGAATGTAATTTTCCTTGTCTTGGTCATTTTTCTCCAACAGTGATCAATTTATTAGTAAATATATGTTATGTTAATAATGTACAAGATCAACGTCAAACTAATGAATTTAGTTGATAAAATTATATCGTCCAACTGGTTCTATCAGGCAGGTAGCTAAATTTTAGTTAATAAAACCCCATCCCGAAACTATAAGTTCGGTCTCAGTCAAGTTTCAGAGAATGTGTTGATCATCGCAAAACATTGTGATCAAACGTTTTACTATAAGTTCGCGTCATAGATCCACACTTTTCCTGAAAAAGTCAGTTCACTAACTCTTACTGTTTTGGCTATGATGAGTGCGATAATGCAGTATTCGTTCCATATGACCTTTCAGAACCTTTATTCCAAGTGGTCACGAGGAACACATTAGGAACTTTCATCTGAAGAAATTTCAATACTTCAGATGGTAGAGTATAGCAAATAATGTATATTAAGAAGGTTCGAGAACTTTTCTAGCAGGAAAAGTTGCTTCGACACACTCATTTTCGCTGAATTAAATTTGAAATTTTGATAACTCGTCGAAATCTTTGTCATTCAATCTTGAACCTTTTGTCACATATGAACAAACAAAGTTCATTCAGAGTTGTGGAAAAGTGCTTCTTTGTGTTCAACGTACTCGATAGTAGATTTCCTATTTATATTTTTAAGCCTTTTCAAACTGTGAAGCAGAGAGAGTGTGTGTGTGACCTTTTATGTATTTAGATGTCTACTATAAGAATCTTTAGAAAATTGCCAGCGTCTTGGAGTTATTATGACAAATGCTCAAAATTTTGTCGTATTTCTGCTACAGTTTGCTCAGTTTTTATCCGGAAAAAGTGATATTTTACAGGTAAATAGCGGGGACCCCTTGCTATTGTCTGATGTAAAACTCTTCTTAAAATTCATTAGTGTTAATTAGTATTAATCAATTTCCAAAGAGCATCTTTCGATTGACCATAATTACCCCATTTGGGTTAATTATGATCAATACAGCAAAAATGGTTGCAATAATCTTAAACAACTTAGTTTCAACGGGGAATTTCAAGAAAAATAATTCAAAATTATATCATCTTGTGGAGAATTTCAAGCTCTTCCACCTGTATGAATTGCATTCTATGCGGGCTTACTGTTAATTAATTAATCAGAAACTACGAGAATGTGAATTTTTCGAAAAAGAGTCACTTGGGATAATTATGGTCACTCACTGTAATTTGCACGGAACACAGTGACGTCCTCTATCTCGCTAGTCATTATATTAAGGGTATTTACCACTGTTGCCGAACGTGAAACATTGTTTTCTCATACATTCAAAAAGTTTCTCTTGAATTCCTACGTCATAAAATTCTGTCCCAACAGTAGTAGATGATGACTCTTACTTCGACGAACAATTCACGCAAGAAAACACTTTTTGCCACGTAGGATAGCTTGGTTTGATATACCAATATTTCTGAAGAACATTCTCTCATAGACGTGTGTCACTCACCAAAACGCGTGTGTCACAGAGAACTCCACCAAACCTCTCTCACAGTATTACCGCTGCTGTTCAAAACTATTTCTTAGCCGAAATACGTGCCAAAAATCTATACTTTCATATGGGGAGGGAGTCGCACAAACAATACTCCTCAAAAATATTTTTTGGTGAACGTGTGTCATCTAGAAAAAGTGAGTGTGTCATATATAACTCGATGCCTTTCATCTAACGGTATGGCTGATGTCAAATGAGACGCCCCGTACAACATGTGAAATAGAGAAATATCGTCCAAACTAGTGTAATACATAATATATTCTAGAAATATTCTCTCTGAAGCGTGTGTCATAGGCAAAAACGAATGATTCATGTACATTTCGGCGAGCTGAATCCATATATGGTGTCACACGTAAGACTTGTGTCAAGAGTTTTATTGTATAACGGACTTTACAACAAAAGTGACTACATTTTCAGAAAAATGAAAACTTGTGTTTCTTACAAATGAACATCAAGGGAAATCAGTTAAGGCTGAAGTTCTTTACACGCTTTTTTTATAGCGAATAGAGTGCTGTTTCAATTATGTCGAGCCCATCGTAATTATACAGTCCGGATGGGTGTATATCATTGAATTTGTAATATTTGTGGTTTATTTTGAATGTGACAGTAAAGTGTTGTTGATGATGAACTACAGTGCCGACAAGAAAGTACCTAAATTGATTATGCGATTAGAAGGATGGTGGGTCCTGAAAGTAGCTGATATACCTCGGACAGTCCGTTTGCACTTTCCCGATCGAGAAATATGTCCCGATCGGGAAACTTTCCCAATCGGGAAAGATGTTATCTCATGAACCATAAGTCGTCTGGAGTGCGGCCAAGTTTTATTCTGTTGCTTAGGTAATTTTCATTTGCTCTATGTGAAAAGCTGAAGCTCCTCTTTGATCGTTGGTTACGTGCCATGCTCAAACAACTTTTTGCTGAAAAATCCCTTATTTTTATTTCCCGATCGGGAAATAAGACAGGATATTTCCTGTTCGGGAAAGATGTATTTCCTGATCGAAAAATAATGCGATACTATCCACTGTACTCTTCTTAACGCTCATTTTGACTTTCTGAAGGCTAACATCTCAACCGGAACCTGATGAAGAGAAAAGAAATTGAATAATTTGTTCTGACACGTATCGAAAGCCGTTAGATTGCCCTATCCAATGGCTAAAGTTAGAGCTCATTAATTCAACTGTAGAGTTGTTGATGCCTCCAGTGAACTTTATGAAAGAAGTCCTTGCTTGAAAATGTGTATTATTGACATTTTTTGTAGTGTGCTAATTTCTTTTATTAAGGTTATTGCTTGTTGAGGAAAGCTGCTAGACATTTTTTGATCTTATCGCTAGATAGCTCTTAGTTTTTTGTACATTTCCTGTAAAATTCCAGTTCTTCTGCCTCGGTTTCGATTTTTGGCAAGTTTTCTTGTGAAATCACCGAATTTTTAACGCTAGAAAGCGTAATATGCACTTTAACTTCTGTATTATCTTATTCCATTTGATCTTTTCATGAATTATTTTGAGACATATATCGTTCGATAGAGCGTTGATTGTGCTACAAAGTGGACTAGTTTTTATTTGAAACGGGCGCCAGAAGTACATCGAAAGAGAGATGTTTCTAGAAGGCACTTAATGTTCAGAGCATGTGTCCAGTAAACCTCGCTTTTCTCTACTATAACTAGATCAAAATTGGCTTCCAAATATGTTATTCGAAAGAGCATCAAAAACTGCATCGAATAGACTAATTTATAAGTGTTTTGAAGAATGTCGTAGAAACAATCATTGTTAACTGTCGGATGAGAAACTTTATTATATTTTTTATTTTGAAAAGTATACACACTGGATCTAGTTATATTCAACATATTTATCACCTGAGGACTAATCAGTAGATCTTTCTTACGCTTCTAGAACTCGATGACACGTGTTTATAATTCTGCATCCTTCCTTTTTCTTAATCTTTTCTTTTTCTTTCTTCCATCTTTCTTTTCCTTTACTCTAACATTTGACAAAAACGACTTTTCTGATCGGGATAGATTTTGATCCCACTTCTATTCAACATTTCTATAATATCAGATGTGACAGAAGCGCTGTGGTCGATACTAACACTATTTTTATTCGCATTCATGGGACTCAAGCAATCGAACAGGACAGTTTAAGCTAAGGGATAGAGTAAATTAGCTTGGTGAACGTTACTTTTTATCCTGAACAACCATAAAACCATTGCTGATTGATAAATATTTTAACTGTTTCATGTTTTAACTGTTGTTCAATTTGTTTATCAGTATTTACTGTTCTGAAATTTCTTTAATTAATGTTTGAAGATGAATAAAATCGTTAAAATTTAAGTTTAATAAAACGTAATCAACAAAAATATTATTTTAACGTAATAAATAAAAATATGCAATTAATTTTAATGATTAAACTTATTGTGGATCAAGTCGCAGTTGATGTCGATGACGATCAAAATTGAACAGAAACGTGTATTCTGATTTCTTCAGTTGTTTTAGATGGTGCATTCTTATCATGACATATCACATAAGCCATCAACACTCAAGGCACGCTTTAGCACACAGTTTTACAATGTACTACGTGAACGAAAGAAAAAATAGTTGAATAGAGTAATAATAATAAGTACTTAATCAATCATCAATAGCGAGCATCATCTGTTACAAGAAAGAAATGAGTACAATGTGATATTTAGTTACTTCATTAATAACACAAGTCATAATATACTACCACTGAAACACTTATCATCAGAACGAGAGAAAAAGAAATACTTTCATAGTCTACAAAAAGAAAAGAGCAAAAATGACTATAACGAAATATGAAAAAACAACGCACTTTATCAAATTTTTATATCTAAACATTTTTTCTATTATTTGTAACAGTCTGATATGATTAGTTTCTCCTGAACCATACACTGGGAGTTGCTGAAACATATTTTCTAAAATGAAATCTCTAGTGCTGATCATAGCAGGTAAAACGTACAATTCATAATCAATTTTTACTGTTTCTCTTCATTTCACTGTCGAAGGTCTGCTATGTGTAGTCAAAATTCATGCAGCGGCAACTACTCATTGCGTACAACAAATGGTCCAAATTCAATTGTTTTTGGCACCATATAATATTGCAACATGGTTGTGCACGAATGGTCAGATAAATGTGCAAGATCAAACCGTTCACGTAACAATTAGTGGCATTACCGCTGATCACAACTATTGGCATTTTCCAAATCAGTCCTATGTTGACTATCTCGTTCAGACAGGTGGCTATGTCGTGTTTAATTTTGATCGTTTAGGTGTTGGTCTTAGTGATCGTCCAATAATCGGGACATTAATCACAGCTGATATACATGCTGAAGTGCTCTCTCAGTTAGTCAAATATTTGAAGCAACAACTTAAATTTCCTAAAATTGTTCTTGTTGGCCATTCACTCGGTTCACTTACTATATGGACGTATGCGTCGAACTACAAAAATGCCGATATTGACGGCATCATTATTACTGGCCTTTTACATAATTACAATTTCACAAGTCTCTTCTCATTCGGTCTTGATTTATACATAGCAAATTTGGATTCAAAATTTTCATATTTACCTCTTGATTATCTCACCACAATACCAAATACACGAGTCAATTATCTTTTTTATTCAACGAATGCTGATCCATACGCGATTGCTCTAGATGAACAGTTGAAAGAGACTGGCACTTTGGGTGAACTTGCTCTCGGTATTTTTAAATTTTCAGCCTCTGTCTCATTGTCAATTAATGTTCCTGTACTCGTTGTTATTGGTCAAAAAGACATTGAATATTGCCAACAAGATTATGCTGTTTCGTGTGAAAATAGTGGCATTGTTCTTCAACGAGAAACCCCGTTTTATTCAACTAATACTTGTCTTGAAACGTATGTTCAGACAGAATCAGCACATGCTATTAATTTGCATCGAAATGCGCAAGATTGGTATCAGATGGCGGTGAACTGGAGTAACAGACGAATAGGGAAAACATGGAATTCATCAGCAACACAACCTTGTTAGGTAAAGTATATCCAAAGATCGATCTAGTTTTTATCTGAAAAGTGGGATCTGTAGGATAAACAAACAAATGTATCAGTTTTGGAAAAAGACTCGTTAAATATTGATATGTTATACTTTTTATTTCTAGCACGGTGTGTCATCGAGTGCTTATATTTCAACGTTGCTATTGAAATAACTATTAAATAGTTATTATGATACTTGCGCATGATTTTTTCGAAAAAGCTTTTTTTAAAGTGTCATATCAAGTATAATTCGATTCTTAAATAACAATACAGAATTTATCTGTCGCACACATATACACTTACAAAATAAAATAATGCGTACTTGAAAGAATCAGAATTAATAGTTTGTAGTTGGAATATGCTTTCAGTACTATGATAGACGACTCTTCATTTCGTTTTTCCCTAGCTAAACATTAGGTTTTAAAATTATATACTAACACTCGTACAAGTATTATCCGATCAAAACTCAAAAGAATTTTGAGACCTTTATGCATGTTTATGTTCGGAGATCAAGTGAAGAAGAAAAAAGTTGAGTTATTGTTATAAGCAAAATTAGCTGTATCGTAGAATGAGCCGCAAGGTAATCCAAATCCAAAAATACGCATTGTTTTAATCTATTCTTAGTAGTGATTTGTTTTAGATACCGTTCACACATATGTTTGAACAAGCGTGTGATTTAGTGATTCAGAATTTTTCGGAAGGACACATAATAGACGTGTAACATGAAAATGCTATCTCAAGATCGGCAGCACGAATTTTGTTACATCTCGGTACTTAAAAGTTTTCAGCGATGCTCTTTCCTATTTTGATTATTTGGGTGTTAGTCTTAGTGATCGTCCAATATTCGGGATCTTGATCATAGCTGATACACATGCCGAAGAGCTCTCTCAGTTACTCAAATATTTGAAGAATAATTAATAATAATTAAATTATCTAAAATTGTTCTTGTTGACCTCACTCGGTTCACTTATTATGTGCACATAACTCGAAATAGTTTTAAAAGTGCCGGAAGTAGCGTTTCCAGAAAACCGCGGTAGTTCACACGTTCAGTTACAGCAAATAGTTTTTCAAAAAGAAACATTTGTCTCTAACAACATTTGTCGTCACATTAGCTGCTTTATTCAGAATTAAATGGGCTCCATTTTACAAAAAGGTTTAACCTGCCAGCTCATAATCTGAACTTTTTATTTAAATTTACAAATTTGAAATCAGCTAATATATAATTTAGCTATTATATAAGCTGTTATAATTAGCTAGTATATAATTTATAAAAAAAAAGTGGTCAGGTAGCACAATGGTAGTACATTGGTCTGATAAGCCAAAGGTTATGGGTCCGCCATCCGATAGTCAGGAAACACCATTCATTTACTCATGCCACTATCTCCAAATTCGTGCACAACGAGTACTCGATAGATCAGAAGTATACTGTGCATATTGGATGATTGAGTTAAGCACAAAGAAAACAGTAGCAATGATGGTATACACACAAATCACTGTCCCTCTTTTATCACTGTTCTACAATTCATCATCTATTAATTTTGTTTCCATATTTCGTTATTTAGGATACGCCCCCACCCGTAAATTAGCAACTGGTAACGTTGTACAAAGTCAGTTTTTAGCAGCTGGTTCATCTTCTAAAACCAATCGGGATTTCGATATTTTTCGAATAATTTTCGAAATATAAAACTTTTTTTAAAAGCTCTTTTTTCATATCCCGACGCTTTTATTAACTAACTGCCTTCTGAAGAGCACTTTGTCGTGCCGAATACTGGTCAGTCTCACAACATAGAAACGAAAAGACAAATGTCTATGTATCCCCTATTTTTTATCATCTCGAAAGTCACTCGTCCCGCGTCTGTTCGGTCAGCATTGATACCGAACTTTTGTTTTTCTGTAAATGAAAAAGCATACATTTTCTCTTGCTAATAAACAACAACAAGCTAGTTGGAAAAACATCATCAAGGACATGATAGGATAGAGCTCGAAAACTGAACATGCCTGGAGACTTGGTGACCTTGGATAAAAACGATTTTCTAAAGGTGTTTTAACAAATCACATGCTAAAATCTATATCCTAGCTCTTCCTTCAGTCATCTAAAAGGATGTGATGAAATTTTAAGATATGGTTATGGATGGAGCTTGAAGAGTTCAACAAAATCCAGTGGTTTTTGAATATCTGAAACAGGATTTTGCGCAGGTTTTAAAGAGTTTTCGAGAGAACTTCAGCGAACGTTTCGCTTCTTTTCCACTATAATTGATATTTCCTATATTTTATCTACTTTTTAGCGTCTGTGATGCATGGGAACGACTTTATCTTGGTCTTCAGAAATTTTTTAGGGGTTTACTCGCAGGTTATTGACATTTTATTATTCAACATTTGCATAAGAACCATAGAACGAACTCCTCATTCTTATGAATAGTGACCATCTAAATTATCTATATAATGGCCATGTATGTCAGTGGTGTTATTGCACAGTCTCCGTTTTCGAAGAGATAATGTCACCTTGTCGGACAGGTATGGATGAAGATTTATTTATTAGGTTATTATATACAAGCTAAAGAATATGCTGATTTACTGATAAGAAAACTAAACATCTATTACGTTGTTAACTAAGTTCCGAGTGCCGATATTTTTCGAATAGTTTTTCACAAAAATGAAATAGACACCTACGGTTTTTACTATTGAATAGCCAAGACCTTAAGATATGTTTGTGTAAGCAGAAACTTGTTTCCAAATTATCTGCAAGTCCGATTTTTCAAGGGTTGTTTGGAAAACCAGCTCCGTTCTCAGAAAACTAACATACAATGTTAGCAATTTTTTTGCATGCGTTGATAGTCTAGACGTTACTCTACAAAATTATGCATGTCTCAGCTCTCCAGCTATCGTCGTTCTGACAGGGCTCGCTTTCCCCGAGCACGTGTCTATCTTCGAGCAGAAATCTCTAGGAATCTCGAAATGCCATGGAATATAGGTAATCGACTACGCTGAGCATAGTGGCAACATTTGCTTATCTACGATTGGATATCTTAAATGAATCATTTGATTAGATTCGTTTGCCGAAATACAATTTATTTGGATTGATCAAAAGATCAGCAGAAAACATTCTAAAAAGGCTGTTTCACAGTATTATACCAAGTTTTATTTTGTTGAACAAACCCAGCGTTGTTTTTGTGGTGAAACTAGCTTGCTTTTTAGTTTTTTTATACAATTACTTGTATTTGCGTTTTTTGGTACCTTCTTAATCCTTTTATGAAATAAAAACTCGTAGCTGAAAACAAAGATAATTACTCTAGTTAAAACTTACATAACCCATTGGCATCGTATACCAACCGCTTTGGGCGAAAAGTTCGTTCGCCAATATCAGTATATTTACTATTATGCTTCATCGATCCTCTACCACACGATTAAAATAGATAAATGCAAAATCAACAATTATACAGGTAGTGTATCAATTTGATCGCTTTGCTATTCAAATATTTAATTCTCGCCAGTTTTTAAAACAAAACCATTAACACCTCAGTAGCTAAGATACGCCTTCGTTTGGATTCTTCGATGTAGTTGAAATTTCAACGCGTCACTCAACTTTGAATATATATTCTGAAAGCCTTTAATATCAGCTCTAATATTAACTTGAAATGAATTCACGAAAATCAACTTCACTCGTAAAACTCGTAAGAGGGCGCCACGAAGTGCATTTGTCTATAATTGGCTGTTAGTTCGTTGCTCCATGTCATGAGGTAGTGTACCAAAAGGACAAAAGTTCTAATTATATTTCTCCCGCCCAATGCGAGAGAAACAGGCTCGAGCACGCACACCAAGTGCAAATTTGGCGCTAAATAGCTCTAATTACTTATTTTCGCTCCTGCATAGTTGTTTCTTCTAAAATAAATTCGGCCCAGGGTAAAATGAAGAGAAAAAAGAGAAGAGAATGATGCTCATTAGTCGATCTGTGTTTTATCAGAAACAAATCCAAAAGCGATATAATAGGGGACAATAGAATCGAGTGATGGGACCAATTAACAGAATGTTGCTTTTAGCGGTGTTTTTGACAGCTAACATGTGGCCATGAGTCTGACATAATCCGTTAGATACCAAAAAATTATCTAAAAAGCCTAAGTAAACAGGAAAAGAGAATTAAAAAATGTATAAAAATTGTAATGCCAATAAAAAAAGCCAATGTTAGTAGTCATGAGAAACTAGAACTTTTGACAGTACTCCACTCTCGTAATAACTATCTGCTATCTGATTATTTTCGGAATATTTTTTTCGAAATTTTAACTTATTGTCACTACAGTAGTTTTGCTAGAAGACTGCGGAAGACAATGGATACTATGAATGTTATTGCTCTCGTGGCTATTGCTCCCAGAGAAGTTAATAAACCATAAGAAATACGCAGTAAGAAAAAAAATCGTTCAGAGAGGTTCCTGTTGAATTGAAATTTTATTTTACACAAAGGTAGGATATCACAAAAAAGCACCAAAAGGACTTGTGGCATCCGGAGACACCTCATGATAACCTAAACTAAAAAGTTTCTAAGAAGAATCGCTACTATAACAC